AAGTGCGAATTGAAGGATCATACTAGGGGACTAGCCCCCCTTTGGGACTCTCTGATGCTAGTAGAGATGGCGTGAGCATGAGATTAAACGGGCAAGACCCGAGTCAATACCTTGGGGGCGTAAGTTAAACCCGTAAACCCTAAACCCTTAAACTGTTAAACCCTAAACCCTTAAACACTTAAACCTTAAACCCTTAGACCCTTAAACCCTTAAACCCTAAACCCTTTAACCCTAAACCGTTAAACTGTTAAACCCTAAACCCTTAAACTCTTAAGCCGTAAACCCTCAAACCCTAAACCCTTTAACCCTAAACCCTTAAACTGTTATACCGTAAACCCTTAAACTGTTAAACCCTAAGCCCTTAAACACTTAAACCCTCAACCCTTAGACCCTTAAACCCTAAACCCTTAAACACTTAAACCTTAAACCCTTAGACCCTTAAACCCTTAAACACTTAAACCCTAAACCCTTAGACCTTAAACCCTAAACCCTTTAACACTGTTAGACCCTACGTAAACCTTTAAACTCTTAAACTCTAAACCCTTAAGCTGTTATACCCCAAACCCTTAAATCCTTGAACCCTAAACCCTTAAACCGTTATACCATAAACCCTTAAACCCTTACACCCTTAAACCGTTATACCCTTACACCCTTAAACCGTTATACCCTAAACCCTTAAACCCTTATATCCTTAAACTGTTATACCCTAAGCCCTAAACCCTTAACTAGAAAACACGAAAAGGAGACTAGAACCCAGAACCCAAACCCAGCCCCGGGGCCTTGGCACTCGGTGCCTTTTTCCAAGAAATCTGCTGATCGATCAAGAGCTGCGGCATTCGACCACAGTCCTGAATGGTGAACCATGACAAGTGCAAATTGAGTCGGATGTTGTTGGAGCGAGATGCGCAGCAACTCGGGCTCACTTCAAGAACTGTTCCTCGTACGGCTGAAGTAGCAAGTCCACGCTGTAAGAGCTGTCTAACCCAACATACGTGAAGCAAAAGCGACGGCTCTGCAGGAATCTTGGTGTGTGCGGCTATGACTGCTGCAGTGACTGAACGTGCGTCAACAGCCAGAGCTAACGTTGTTGCTCCCTGCTTTGTACCCTCGATGATATCACGCGCAAGGTCAGCGGTCAGTACGCCCTCTGACAACTCATGAATCGCAAGCTTGTGCAAAAGACCAACGTCTATCGCATCTGTAGCAGCAAACAGCTCTGACGAGAAAGTGGAACGCGTCACATGTCTCTGCTGCTTGCTAGCGAAATCAAGGAGATGGCAGGGAACGTGTTTCTTACCGGCACGCACCTCCGCAAGATCAACCCTTAGACTAACCAGACCCCTAACCGAAAGCCCGTCTTCCGCCTTAGCCTTATAGGAGGAGTCTGAAACCTGCAGAAGGGTCTTAGGGTAGGACATCTTAGGGTAGGTAATCTTACGGGGATTGCTCTGGAGCCACTTAAGCAACGTGTTCAGCCTTCTCACATGGACAACCTGCGCCTTATGTGACTCACGCTGCAGCACTGCCACAAACACTGACACGTCGGGCCGTGTCAACAAGGCATATGCAATGGTCATGAGAAGTGAAAGAAAATGCCGTCTGGCATCCTCTGGAAGGACTGCAGTTGGTCCCCCGACTAACGCTGCTGGCTGAGAGATTGGCTTGCATGAGGCAAGAAACTT